TTTTTTTCCTTCATTAGTTCTAAGGTTAACCTATCCTTCATAAACCCATCCGCTGACAAGTCAACTCCCAAATACAATAGACCATCATTGAACACTGTAGTTGAATTCCTGAAAATGCTGTTTAGGTAAAAAACCGTTAGATGAACTGAAGAACTTATGGGAAAAATTGGGTTACATTCCTGGGTGACCCCTAAAAAGTCAAACAATTTTTTTTTTTTAGGTCTCCACATCTTACAAAAATAAAAGTGAATATGTAATTGGAGTTCATTGTCGTGATGTATTATGTTGTTTTTACTGCGTAAGAACAGATGATGATTACATGTGCAACGGAGATAATAGTATTTCTTACCTTAAATTGTGGGTGCTGGTGTTTGTGGATGACTGTGGAGAATGGAGAGTTATGCTGTGGCCCTACTGGGCTGAGGTGGATGGTAGAGGATCTGGTACTCAAGTTGATGGTTGTACCTGAGTGTGCATACATTCTGTAATGGATTTCTGTTCTATTTTTACCCTACAGTACATTATACAATTGACAGTAAGGTATCAGCTGCTCTAGACACTGTCAGGGTCCTCTTCCATGAAAAAGTCTAATTTTAAGTCATTCAGTCATTCCATGCACTTGTATATTTCAAATTCTACCTTACTCATAGGTATCAGTATATTACCATTAAAGACACAACTTCATCAACACGACCACTTGATACTGGAGTGCCACAGTGAAGTGTCCTTGGTCCATCATTGATCTCCCCAACGTATCACAACACCTGAAACCAATCCTCTTTGCTGACAACACAACTTATGTCATCTCCCACCCAAATTTTGCCACACTCATCACCATTGTTCATGAGGAGCTACTAAAAATATCTACTTGGATGACAGCCAATAAACTTACACTCAACACTGACAAAACCTTTTATATAATGTTTGGTAACAGAGCAGGTGCTGGACAACTGAATATTATGATCAACACTCTTATTGCTAAACATGAGTGCAGATTCCTGGGCCTACACCTCAACAGCAACCTGAAATTCAGCACCAATATCCAACACATAACAAAAAAAGTATCCAAAATGGTTGGGATCCTCTCCAAGAGACACTACTACGTGCTACAATCAGCCCTTCTCACACTGTATTATTCATTCATCTATCCCTACCTCACCTATGCTGTTTGTGCTTGGGAATCACCCAACAGAAAGCCGGAGTAAGAATTATAACACAATCCAATACTAGGCAATACCCCATCCCCTCTTCAAAGATCTAAACCTACTCACTATACAGAACATCCACACTTACTACTGTACAACCTACATTTATATACCATAAATTCCAATATTAACCCTGAACTAAAACACTTTCTTGATAGTTGTGACAGGACCCACAGGCACAAAAATCTCTGACATTCCCAGCGTCCAGCTAAACGTATACAAAAATTCAGTGTACATTAACCCTTAAATGGTCCAAACGTATATATAAGTTTTTTCAACATTTGAAAGTATGTAAAAAAATTTACATCTTTTTTTTTCATTTGAAAATGTGTAAAAAAACTTATCTAAATTTGTTTTTTGTTATATTTGAAAATATGTAAAAAAAACAGATCTACTTTTGGAGCACTACGGATTTGAACGTCGATCTATTTGGACTGTTTAAGGGTTAAAGGTCCTAAAATCTGGAACCCTCTGCCTGAAAACTCTAGAACTGCAGACACAACCGTCAACATCTCATCTCCCTGATACACCTCACTGTCAGCTAGCTGTTCTCTTACTTGTATCATGCACACAGAAAACAAACTAGACCTACTCTCGATATCTGCGATTCCCTCCAATTTACACTTACACTCACCCAAATGACTATAAACAAAATTTCGAATAAAGCTATTGCCTAACAAATCTTAAACTAGTCATAAGTTTACCTGAGATACTCCAATATAGGAACTTTAATAGAAACTGTGTATCATGCCAGGACGAAACCATTCTCATTGCTAAATTTACAAACTGTAATGCAGTTACCTAGCTTTAATATCAATATGCTCCATAACCTGTATCAACATAGAGTTGGAATTATTATTCTGCCTGAAATGCCTAGTCATGCTAGGCATGATAGTGACCCTCTTTGTAATTAGTATTTTATATGTAAACCACACATTGTAACCAATATTTCATATGTAAACCCCACATTGTAATCTTTACAGAAAAATAAACATTTGTACGTATTTGTATTCAGTAAGTCAGTCAATCATACAAACTCATGTTTACCTCATTTTATGTGCATAAAGTGAGCTTCATTATGGCCACAGGTTATCTCTTGTCTAATACAGTGGAACCCTGAGTTTTGGCCATAACCCGTTCCAGGAGCTAGGCCTAAAGTCGAAATGGCCTAAAGTTGAAGCAATATTTCCCATAAGAAATAATGTAAATCCAATTAACCCTTTCAGGGTTTCCGACATACTAGTACGGCTTATGCGCCAGGGTTATTGATGTACTAGTAGGCATAAATTCTAGTGCCTTCAAACTGAGCAGGAGAGAGCTGATAAGCCTACATGTGATAGAATGGGTCTATGTGGTAAGTGTGTGCAGTACCACTGCATTGTGGGAGTGGTAATTCAACTAAGCCAAGTGTAAGGAGTACCTTACTCTCCAGCAGTCTGAGTGGTGAGGATAGGCAGTAAGGGGGAATGGGAGGCAGTGGGGGTAGTAGGGAAGGGAGCTGGCTTGCTGGTTGTGTATGTGTACTTACCTAATTGTAGTTGCAGGGGACTCAGCTCCTGGCCCTGCCTCTTCACTGAATGCTACTAGGTCCTCTCTCCCTGCTCCATGAGCTTTATCATACCTCGTCTTAAAGCTATGCATGGTTCCTGCCTCCACTACTTCGCTCACCAGACCGTTCCACTTCCTGACCACTATGTGACTGAAGAAATGCTTCCTAACATCCCTGTGGCTCATCTGAGTCTTCAACTTCCAAGAGTGACCCCTTGTTTCTGTCCCCTCTCTGGAACATCTTGTCTCTGTCCACACTATCTATTCCACGCAGTATTTTGTATGTCGTTATCATGTCTCCCCTGTGTGGATGGGGCATGTGTGTGGATGGGGCGTGTGTGTGGATGGGGTGTGTGTGTGGATGCAGTGTGTGTGCATGAGGTGTGTGTGGATGCGGTGTGTGTGTGTTTGGATGCGGTGTGTGTGTGTGTGTGTGTGTGTACTCACCTAATTGTGGTTGCAGGGGTCGAGACTCGGCTCCTGGCTCTGCCTCTTCATTGAGTGCTACTAGGTCCTCTCTCTCCCTGCTCCATGAGCTTTGTCATACCTCATATTAAAGCTATGTATGGTTCCTGCCTCCCCTACCTCACTTCCTAGGCTATTCCACTTCCTGACTGCTCTATGACTGAAGAAATACTTCCTAACATCCCTTTGACTCATCTGGGTCTTCAACTTCCAATTGTGACCCCTTTTTTCTGTGTCCCCCCTCTGGAACATCTTGTCTCTATCCACCTTGTCTATTCCACGCAGTATTTTGTATATCGTTATCATGTCTCCCTTAACCCTTCTGTCCTCCAGTGTCATTAGTCCGATTTCCCTTAACCTTTCTTCGTAGGACATTCCCCTTAGCTCTGGAACTAACCTTGTCACAAACCTTTGCACTTTCTCTAATTTCTTGACGTACTTGATCAAGTGTGGGTTCCAAACAGGTGCTGCATACTCCAGTATGGGCCCGATGTACATGGTGTACAGCGTCTTGAACGATTCCTTACTAAGGTACTGGAACGCTGTTCTCATGTTTGCCAGGCACCCATATGCTGCAGCAGTTATCTGGTTGATGTATGCTTCTGGAGATATGCTTGGTGTTATACTCATTCCAAGATCTTTCTCCTTGAGTGAGGTTTGCAGCCTTTGGCCACCTAGCCTATACTGTACTCTGTCTGCGGTCTTCTTTACCCTTCCCCGATCTTCATGACTTTGCATTTGGCGGGGTTAAATTCGAGAAGCCAGTTGCTGGACAAGGAGTCAAGCCTGTCCAGGTCGCTTTGAAGTCTTGCCTGATCCTCATCTGATTTAATTCTCCTCATTAACTTCACATCGCCTGCAAACAGGGACACTTCTGAGTCTAACCCTTCCATCATGTCATTCATATATACCAAAAATAGCACTGGTCCTAGGACCGACCCCTGTGGGGCCCCGCTCGTCACAGGTGCCCACTGTGATACCTCATCACGTACCATGACTCGTTGTTGCCTCCCTGTCAGGTATTCTCTGATCCACTGCAGTGCCCTTCCTGTTATACGCGCCTGATCCTCTAGCTTCTGCACTAATCTCTTGTGAGGAACTGTGTCGAAGGCCTTCTTGCAATCAACCCAACCCTCTCTCTCGTGTCTTACTTCTGTTACTTTATCATAAAATTCCAGAAGGTTTGTGACACAGGATTTGCCTTCCATAAATCCATGCTGGTTGGCATTTATACTCTTGTTCCATTCCAGGTGCTCCACTACTCTCCTCCTGATAATCTTCTCCAAGAAATTGCATACTATACATGTCAGTGACACTGGTCTGTCTCCTTTTTTAAAAATGGGAACTACATTTGCCATCTTCCATACCTCAGGTAGTTGCCCAGTTTCAAGGGATGTGTTATATGTGGTTAGTGGCACTGCACAGACCTGTTCTCTCATATATAGGCCTACCAGCCCTCTTGTACCAAATTTGAAAGACACTAGAATGTGTGTGTAGATCTACATAAGTGACCCTGGCATCAATAATGTAGATCTACATGATGACCACTGAAAGGGTTCAACAACATGTTCATGGGTCAGTTGTGAAATACAGTATTCTCAAGTTTTTAATAAGCAATACATGAAAAACACATTTAATTTAAAAAATTCTATGCACTGAGTAAATTGTGACCTTGTAATTTGAATCAGCACAGTAATGAGAATTAATAAAGGTTATACATTTACCTCAGTAAAGGTTTTGTAATCCATTGTTGCTGATCATAAGGTTAATAATGCCAAAGGATTAAAATCATTATGCTTTTAATAAAAAAATCTAAGGGATTCTATTTTACAAAAAATTAAATGAACCCATCTTAGACCTGAGGAAATGTTCTGAATCAGAATATAAACTTATTTTAAAAATTTATAAAGGTATTACTGGTATGGGTCTCCCCAATGGCAGTTATAAGTACAGGACAGTATATAATTATGTTAAAGCCAGCAATACCTTAACGTTCTTATATATTATATATAATTCATCTTATAAATAAGGTTATCTGGCTTGAACAAAGACAGTTTCTTGTGGAAACAGTCCAGCATCTTTTAAGGTTACATCAAAATCCATATATGAAATTTCTCTCCGGGGAAAATTAGTAACCAACTCATATTGCTCATTGCTGAATCCTTTACTGCCGACATATTTCACCAAAGCCTGCAAAGAAAAGCACCTCTAATGTTATTTCTTTCTATTGGAAGAAGAAATTAATGAAATACGTGATTATTGTCACACAATTACCTGTACAATAAAATAAAGCTATATATTAGTATTAACCCCTTAACTATCCAAATGTAGATTACGTTCTTACTGCTAGCGCTCCAAACAGATCTACGTTTAATTTTTCCTGCCTCCAAATTTGGAACGATTGGCCTATGCCTGGTCAGCATAGAATGGGTCTTAACCCTCGGTGTGTGCTGTATTAAAAAAATCTGGGACCATTTAGTACCTTGTGGGAGCACCAGTTGAACTAGGTGCCAGCTAGAGCAAACAGCACGGCAAACACCAAGGATTCACTGATGTCATGTCGTATTAACACTCCCCTTTTAAGAGGAAAGTGTCATTTTGCCAGAATGTCCTATAACCTATGCCCTAAGTAAAAAGAAACATGTCTGGAACTAAAATTTCAGCAGGCTGGCTGACTGGCTGGCCAGTTGGCTGGCTGACTGGCTGTCTCTATCTCTGTCTGTCTGTATCTATCTATCTCTGTCTCTATCTCACAGGAACATGTATGTAAATACAATTACAGTGGAACCTCAAATATCAAACTTAATCCGTTCCAGGAGTTGGTTCTAAATTCGAAAAGTCTGAAAAGCAAAGCAATATTTCCCATAAGAAATAATGGAAATAAAATTAATCCGTTCCAGAAACCCAAAAATATTCACAAAAAATACATTTTATAGATTAATTATAGTTTTACATACACACACCAAATATAGTGTTCAATTATGTATTAATAAATTTAAATAAACATATAAAATAACATTTTACTTACCTTTATTGAAGATTGGTGATGGCATCTGGAAGATAGGGAGGAGGAGAGAGGGAGTTGAGGTTAATGTTTGGAAGGGGAATCCCCCTCCATGAGGACTGTAGGTATCAAAGCCCTCTCTGGGGTTACTTCCCTTCTCTGTCTTTTAATGCCACTAGGACCAGCTTGAGAGTCACTGGACCCCTGTCTCACAAAATAATTGTCCACAGTCCTCTGTTTCTGGTGCCTCTAAGATTTCCCTTAAATGGGACATGGTTCTGACACTGAACTTGTTGCAAAGATGGCTTGTTTCAGCTTGCTCAGGGTGGTACTTCTCCACAAACATTTGGACATCATTCCACTTCTGTATTACTTCCTTCTTCACATCTATGGTGTTTCTCACTTTCTTTACCATAGGGGTACCACTAGCAAGTTTATTTGGGCCAATTATAGCTTATTTCACAGTCCCAAAAGCACTAAACACAATGAAATAATCATAAAATGTTTGAATGAGAGCTCAGGTTAATGTTCACTCAAGCTTCAACAAAACCAGACTGGCTCACGGCACCTGCGTGGGGACACAGACAGAGCGGGCTGCCGGACAGGTCTGGTACCCGGCGGTTCGAAAATAGGGGCGAGTTCGATAATAGGGAAAAATTTGGTTCGAAAAAAGGGTTCTATTTTCGAAGAGTTCGATAAGCATACATTTGAATTTGAGGTTTCCACTGATACATCGGTAAATTACCTAGGATAACAAAAAAAACCCAGACAAAGTGCTTTTCGGGAACTGTAATTTTGGGCAGGCGGTTACCCGGGGGCGGTGGCCGCTTTGGGTGCCTCATCTACTATTCTGTCCTCTATTTATGGGAAACATATGTAAATAAAATTTACATAGTGTAAATTCCCTACGATAACCCCAAAAATCCAGACGAAGTGCTATACTGTGTTTGTAGAAGTGATCGTGTGTATACCAAGGTTTTCATGGAACTTGAGACAGATACAGATAACAGGCAGACATGTTTGTGTGTAAGAAGAAAAAAAAAAAGTGAAGGTCATAAAATGTCACCAGTCTTTAGGGGAAAGGAAAAGATTATCAAGACTACCTCTCTTGTCAGCAGGGGTGTGAAAGATAAGGCATGACAAGTGATACACTTAATTATTATACATGGAACCTTCTTGCGAGTTAATCCTTTCCTGCCCTTTTGCTCCAACTGGTTTGCTCTTTGCAGAGTCAATTTTCCCCTTTTTAACCCTTTGGGGTTTTCGTGTACTGTACGTCTTACGCTGGGGGTTTTTGACTTCTAGTCTCAAAAATTCTAGCGGCCCAAATCTAGTGGGAGAAAACGGTAGGCCCTTTATATGAAAAAATGGGTCTATTGGGCAGTGGCACAGTCTAAAAAAAATCCGCAGCCACGTGCATAAAAGGAAAAAAAAAAACTTTGACCATTTTTTTTTTAATAAATCAGCGATTTTCAGTGTTTTTGTTGGTATTTATTGTTTATTCTAGTTTTCTTGGTCTCATTTTTTAAAAGGGAAAACAATTACTGAAATTGAGATGATTTTTACTGGTTTTTACAATGAAAGGTGCCCTTTAAAATTTTAGCTCAAATAGAGAAATGTTCGATTTTACCAAACTTCAAAAGTAAACAAATCGTGCCAAGCGAGCAATACAAGTCAACTGGTGAGTCTAATATTCTTTCACAAGTGCACCAATAATATTTATACCATTTTTTACACTAATGCAGTAGTCTGCATAACAGTAAATCTTATATTTTTTGTGAGAATAAAAATTCAAAGTGGAAAGCAAAAGAATATAAGAGGGGCCTTGAGACGTGACTAATGACTAGAGGAAATGTTATTTTAGTGCCAGGAATGTCTTCTTGTTTATTCTGACCCTATTCGGAAATTGGCATCTTTTGAAATTTGTGTGAAATTGGCAAAATTGCTAAATTTTGACCACTGTACTGGATAGTTGAATTTATAAATGGGTGGTTTCTTGCAAACATTCGATAGAAAAAATAGAGTTCTAGCGAAATATTCATGTTTTTTGTGAACTAGTACAGTGAAATTGGCTGAAAATGGGGCTCAAAGTGGGCAAAATCGCCGATGCGTAAACATCGCTGAGACCGCTTACTTTGCGAGAGCATAATTCCGTAAGTTTTCTATCAAATTTCAAACTTTTGGTGTCTTTATGATCGGGAAAAGATTCTCTATCTTTTCATAAGAGAAAATAATTTTTTTTTTTTTTTAAATTTGGCCGACCCTGAGAACGAGTTTTGGAGAGGGCCTGTCGACCCTCAAAGGGTTAAATTAATTGAAATGCAATTAATCTGTTCCAGTGGAATTCTGTACTTCAATAATTTAGCTAATATCAACTCTGGCTTATTTATCCATCTCACTTCATCTAATGTGACATAATAAACAATATAAATAACAAAGAAACCTGATATATACTCTAAAATGAGTAAAATATGTCATTCATGTAGTGGTATGGGCGGTGTACGAGTTTGTCTGGAGACCGGGCAAAATACTTCATAATTTTGCTAATATCATCTATACGGCTTATTCTATCACAGTTCATCTAATATGACATAAACAATATAAGTAACATAGAAACATGATATATACTCTAGAATGAATAAAATATGTCATTCATGTAGTGGTATGGGCGGTGTCGGCGGTGGACGAGAGTTTGTCTAGAGACTGGGCAAAATACTTCATGAATAATTTCACTAATATCATCTATACTGCTTATTTATCTATCACAGTTCGTTTAATATGACATAACAATATAACACAGAAACCTGATATATACTCTAGAATGAATAAAATAAGTCATTCATGTAGTGGTATGGGCAGTGTCAGCGGCCGACGGGAGTTTGTCTGGAGACAGGACAACATACTTCTTGAATATTTCACTACCATCAACTCTACAGCTTATTTATCTATCACAATTATGAAATAATAAACAATATAAATCACATAGAAACCTGATATATACTTTAGAATGAATAAAATGTGTTATTATGTAACAGGTGTAGGCATCCACAACTGCTCCCTCTGTTGTGGTAAACACTGCTATCTAGCGGTGGGAGACGGCCAACTTGTTGAAAAAAAAAAAAAATGTAGTACATTATTATTATATATGTATTATTATACATAGTATTATTATTATACATATCATTCTTTCTTTCTTTCTTTCAACACACCGGCCGTATCCCACCGAGGCAGGGTGGTCCAAAAGGAAAAACGAAAGTTTCTCCTTTTACATTTAGTAATATATACAGGAGAAGGGGTTACTAGCCCCTTGCTCCCAGCATTTTAGTCACCTCTTACAACACGCATGGCTTACGGAGGAAGAATTCTGTTCCACTTCCCCATGGAGGTAAGAGGAAATAAGCAAGAACTAGTAAGAAAATAGAAGAAAACCCATCTCATGTATGTGTAGTGTGACCTAAGTGTAAGTAGAAGTAGCAAGATGTACCTGAAACCTTGCATGTTTATGAGACAGAAAAATGGACACCAGCAATCCTACCATCATGAAAAACAATTACAGGCTTTCGTTTTACACTCACTTGGCAGGACGGTAGTACCTCCCTGGGCGGTTGCTGTCTACCAACCTGCTACCTAGTATATTATCATTATTATTCTTTCTTTCTTTCAACACACCGGCCGTATCCCACCGAGGCTGGGTGGCCCAAAAGGAAAAACGAAAGTTTCTCCTTTTACATTTAGTAATATATACAGGAGAAGGGGTTACTAGCACCTTGCTCCTGGCATTTTAGTCGCCTCTTACAACACGCATGGCTTACGGAGGAAGAATTCTGTTCCACTTCCCCATGGAGATAAGAGGAAATAAACAAGAACAAGAATTAGAAAGAAAATAGAAGAAAATCCAGAGGGGTATGTATATATAAATGCTTGTACATGTATGTGTTGTGTGACCTAAGTGTAAGTAGAAGTAGCAAGACGTACCTGAAATCTTGCATGTTTATGAAACAGAAAAAAGGACACCAGCAATCCTACCATCATGTAAAACAATTACAGGATTTTGTTTTACACTCACTTGGCAGGACTGTAGTACCTCCCTGGGCGGTTGCTGTCTACCAACCTGCTACCTAGTATATTATCATTATTATTATTCTTCTTCTTCTTTCAACGTACCAGCCGTATCCCACTGAGGTGG